TTTGGCTTTTTTGGCTTTTTTGACTTTTATTTGTGAGAGAAGAATGTAATGATTATAGGTTGGATGTGATGTTTTGTTTGTTATGGCTAAAATAGCCTATTTTGTTTTTTGTGGCTAAAATAGCCAAAAAAGCCTGAAAAAGCCCTTGCCAAACACGAATCCTATAGTGTCATAGATAATATAATGGTGCTCCTGTAAAAGTTAAAAGTTGGTATATAAAAAGTAAAAATAATAATAATAATATAATAATAATAATAATAATAATAATAATAATAATTAAAGTGCGGGCGATTTTTGCTTGTTGCGGGTTTAAACCGCGACCCGCCCGCACCCGCAAATTTGTCATATTTCAAACCGTATCCGCCCGCATTATGTTTGCGAAACCGCCCATTTATATGCGGGTTGGGCGGGATTGGACGGTTTGAGCGGTTTAGATAAACCGTTACCCACCCCTAGTGTGTGCAGAATGATGGAGATGATGATTCGGAGGAGTCTCTATCAAAGCTCCATATATATTATATATATATATTATGTTTGCACGAAACTCCATTCTACTCGACCCTCGGCTAAGGGGAAGGAGAGGGGAAGCTGAGGATCAATTGAACTCAATTGCATGTGCTGGAGCATTCTGGGTCCTACCATTACTCTCCAATTAGTAATAGGGAATGATTTTTTTCTAGTTGGTGACTGAATTAGAAGGTATTATTAGATTTATGGGAGTCTACCACGAGTTTTATTTTAACAATCTAAATCGTCAATATGTAAATTAGTCGAGTACTATATGTCTGTTAAAAATCATGTTGGTCGGATATCGATAGTTATGTGATCAAATCAGATTTTTTGTAAACTGTTTATTTTTTACTGTCCATTTTATTATTCCATACAAAACTGATTTGATCACATAGTTATGGATATCCAATCAACACTGATTTTTAACAAAAATATAGTAATCGACGAATTCTACACATTCAACAGTTCGGATTATCAAAACGGGACTCATAGTAGATCCCATAAGCCCAACAATACCCTCCAGTGTTAGATTGAAGGGGAGCCATTCCCTTAGTAATATTATGGCCTTGTTGGTTTAAACTCTCAAAATATAATCAACAATGCTAGGTAACTCAAAATTTTTGTGGCTCAAATGGCTCAAATCATCTCAAACGACGTCGTTTTGACAGATTTTGAGAGTAAAACGAGGTCGTTTTGACAGATTTGAGCCATTTGAGCCACAAAATTTTGAGCTACCAAACATTTTCCAAATATAATTTTTGAAAAAAAATTTCAAAATTTTTTTGGTTGGAAATTTTTAAAAATTTCCAAAATCACTTTTTCTTACCTACATATCAATCAATCACTTTTTCTCTCTTATCTCTCATTTTCAATCATTTTTTCTCTCACACACATCTACTCAACTACAACAAAATATCAAATCATCCCAAACTTCCATACTCCGAAATATTTCCAAAATATATAACCAAACAAATCAAAAAAAATTCTAAACTCTTTCTTCAAAATTTTTAAAAAAATTTATCTCCCAAACTAACACAAACACACCTTATATTTTTACAGCACCTTAACTTCTTATTGTCACTTGGCTGTTGCTGCAAACCCATACATTCTGTGGTTGTTAGTTGTGATTGATTATTAGAATTGTCAGTTCAGTAATCAATAATCAAACTATAAGTTCCATCGACCATTAGAAGGAAAATTTTATTAGGAAAAAGTGGATGAATCACCAATGAAAATCATATGAGAAACCAAGTTTAGGACTTGATAATTCTACGGCATTAAGAAAGTTGAGAAATACTTAAAAATAAGGATCCTAGTGTCATAGAGAATATAATGGTGCTCCTGTAAAAGTTACAAAATAATAATAATAATAATAATAATAATAATAATTAAAGTGCGGGCGATTTTTGCTTGTTGCGGGTTTAAACCGCGACCCGCCCGCAACCCGCAAATTTGTCATATTTCAAACCGTATCCGCCCGCATTATGTTTGCGAAACCGCCCATTTATATGCGGGTTGGGCGGATTGGACGGTTTGAGCGGTTTAGATAAACCGTTACCCACCCCTAGTGTGTGCAGAATGATGGAGATGATGATCGGAGGAGTCTCTATCAAAGCTCCATATATATATATATATATATATGTTTGCACGAAACTCCATTCTACTCGACCCTCGGCTAAGGGGAAGGAAGAGGGGAAGCTGAGGATCCAATTGAACTCAATTGCATGTGCTGGAGCATCTGGGTCCTACCCATTACTCCAATTAGTAATAGGGAATGATTTTTTTCTAGTTGGTGACTGAATTAGAAGGTATTATTAGATTTATGGGAGTCTACCACGAGTTTTATTTTAACAATCTAAATCGTCAATATGTAAAATTAGTCGAGTACTATATGTCTGTTAAAAATCATGTTGGTCGGATATCGATAGTTATGTGATCAAATCAGATTTTTGTAAACTGTTTATTTTTTACTGTCCATTTTTATTCCATACAAAACTGATTTGATCACATAGTTATGGATATCCAATCAACATGATTTTTAACAAAAATATAGTAATCGACGAATTCTACACATTCAACAGTTCGGATTATCAAAACGGGACTCATAGTAGATCCCATAAGCCCAACAATACCCTCCAGTGTTAGATTGAAGGGGAGCCATTCCCTTAGTAATATTATGGCCTTGTTTGGTTTAAACTCTCAAAATATAATCAACAATGCTAGGTAACTCAAAATTTTGTGGCTCAAATGGCTCAAATCACTCAAAACGACGTCGTTTTGACAGATTTTGAGAGTAAAACGAGGTCGTTTTGACAGATTTGAGCCATTTGAGCCACAAAATTTTGAGCTACCAAACATTTTCCAAATATAATTTTTGAAAAAAAATTTCAAAATTTTATTTGGTTGGAAATTTTTAAAAATTTCCAAAATCACTTTTTCTTACCTACATATCAATCAATCACTTTTTCTCTCTTATCTCTCATTTTCAATCATTTTTTCTCTCACACACATCTACTCAACTACAACAAAATATCAAATCATCCCAAACTTCCATACTCCGAAATATTTCCAAAATATATAACCAAACAAATCAAAAAAAATTCTAAACTCTTTCTTCAAAATTTTTTTAAAAAATTTATCTCCCAAAACTAAACCAAACACACCTTATATTTTTACAGCACCTTAACTTCTTATTGTCACTTGGCTGTTGCTGCAAACCCATACATTCTGTGGTTGTTAGTTGTGATTGATTCAAATATTTGAAGAGGAATTAAAAAATAAAAATGAAAAAGATTGTGCAAAATTCTTTTACAAATCTCTTTTTAAATCCTTCAATAAACACATTAAATCAAATGGCTGGTAGTTTACAGGTAAGATAATATTTGACTAATAAAGTGTGTTTTTCTAATCTTATCAATTAAAAATCTTATTACTCAAATATTATCTTTTAAACACAT